GTGGACCTAGATCTGGAGATGGGGCGGTTTTATGAAGCTTGTGGAAAATATGCGTGACATTTCCAGATATTTTGCCATAGAAACCATTAACCGGAAGTTCAGCAAATCTACAGGGGGTACTTCATGTTGTGAAAAAGGTCTATTTCACTCTCTTGTAAATGCTTGTAAATATTTCACAGATCAACCAGAAGGACTAATGCATGTAATAACTCAGTTGTCCAAGTAGGTTGCACCACAAAAAAAAGAAAAAAATCAAAGTAAAATTCTGCACAAAGGTTATTGAGAGTGAACGTTTCCCCCTCCGAGTGGCTTGTTCAGTTCTGACAGATAAGGCCTTGACTTCCCAGTAACCTGTGGCTTGGATAAGTTGTGAAATTTTCATTTCTCAAAAATCTTTTGTCCAGTTTCTATTCAGTTTTCTTTAGAGAAGTATTTATTATTTTTATCTATCTATCTATCTATTTTTACTATCAAATCCAACTTTATGTCTAATGCACTTTAAAAACAACACAGCTGACCAAAGTGCAGAACATAACAATAATTATAAAAGAAAATAAAAATAGACACAGACTGCAAAAACAAACACACATAAAAACACACTGTACAATGTAAGTGTCAGCATTACTCTCAGAAACACTACAGAGAACAGGTGCGTTTTAAAGGTGCACTGTGTAACTTTTTGGTTGTGGGTCATTCACCTACTTGTTTCTATGGATATGTCATTGCTCTGCCAGGAATGTTCCACAGTATGAAATTAAACAGCTCTGTGTTACATGTATTGAATTACATGTGGTTTTATAGTTCAAAAATACCAAGAAAGCAGACATTCACACTGTGAGCGGGGGTCGCCTCTCCGCAGATCTGACCTGTAACTCATTTAGGTTTGGTCTCCATGAAGGTCGAAAGGTTTGATACCATAGTGCAAAACGTTCCAGACAAAGCAATAATATTGCCATGGAGAAAAGCATTTAATAATAATAATAATAATAATACATAACAATTGTATAGCGCTTTTCAAGATATTCAAAGACGCTTTACATGAGGAGACAAACAAAAGCAAACGAGACAAAAAGACAATTAATGAAAGGTAATTTTTTAAAGAGATGGTTTTCAGGGCTTTTTTTTTTTAAACATGGGGAGTGTGGATGAATCTCTGATGTGTTTGGGCAGAGAGTTCCAGAGGGTGGGGGCAGCAGCGGAGAAGGCCCTGTCCCCCCAGGTCTTATGTTTAGTCCTGGTGGAGGTTGGGGCAGACAGGAGGTTGGCGTCGGCTGATTGGAGAGCACGGGTGGGGGTGTGCTGGTGGTGGTGTAGGAGCTCAGAGAGGCAGGTGGGGGGCCAGGTTATGGAGGGACTTGTACACATTGGTGAGGTGTTTGAATTGGATGCGCTGGGGGATGGGGAACCAGTGGAGATCTCTCAGGACAGGGACGATATATTCACAGGAGGAGGTGTGGATGAGGAGGCGAGCAGCAGAGTTCTGGATGTATTGGAGTCTGTTAAGGAGTTTGGAGGGTGAACCGTAGAGCAGACGATTGCAGTAGTCGTGGCAGGAGGTGACAAAGGTGTGGATGAGGGTTTCAGCAGACTGAGAGACTGAGGGGAAAGGCATTTGACGGACCCTCCACCAGAATAGTTATGCAATGCACCTTTAAGAGCTGATTTAAAAACAGCAAGTGCCTGAGCCTGTCAAAGGGGCTGGAGCAGTGGTGTTCACAGTTTCAGACTTGCAACAGAAAAAGAGCGTTTTCTCTTCGATTTTGAGACCACTAACAAGGAGTGATCTGCTGACCTGAGAGAGCGTGCAGGAGTGTGGGGCTGGAGCAGGTCAGACAAATCGTGCAGGGCAAGACCATGGAGAGGTTTAAGAACAAATAAAACGATTTTAAAATCAATTCAATAAGAGACAGCGAGCCAGTGCATGGATATTTAAAAGGACTCGTCTCCTTGTGATCTTGTCTCCTTGTGCCAGTCAAGAGAGCTGCATTTGTATTCTGGACAAGTTGCTAGTATTTTTAAAGGTGCATTGCGCAACCTTTCTGGTGGTGGGTCCATCACCTACTTGTCTCCATGGTTATTGCTTTGTCTAGAATGTTCCAAAGTAGAGATTAAACCTATATATCTCAAGGCAGACAAGAATTGTTTTCCTCCTGCCACAAATTGATATGATTTGTCACAGTTGGACTTTCATGCAAGGTAATAATAAAAAGCACACTTCAAAATCTAGTAAACATGGCGTACTGACCACAAAATAATGATCTTGACCCCCCATCCCGATTCTCTGACCTCTTCCGTATTGTAAAATGAAGAGGTGTTCTGCCCATGGTCAAGTGGTAAAAACAGCAGCACATCTGCCCGGAGTGGCTGGCCTCAGTGTCACGAATTTGATTCCTAGTCTGATAATTTGCTGAATGTTGTTTCTGTCTAAAAAAGCCTATGGGCGGAAAAAAAAAAAAGGGTTTAAAAAGGAAATAAGAAATAAAACTGAATAGAGTTCATCAGTGCAAACTACTGAATGTGTATGAGATTTTGCATTGAGAATTGGTCTTATAAAGGCGCATTGTGTAATGGTTTTCTGGGGGAACAACCCTTATTTTAACATACAGCCACTCCAACAGACCTCCACCCCGACATTCTGTCATTCGGTCATGCCCCCATTTCAACACCTTTTGATGCCATCATTCCGACACCTTTTATGCCGCCATTCTGACAACCTACTCTTAGTTTGTACCATCGCCTTTTTTCCTTGTACACACCACATGGACCGTGTCTTCTCGTGTACAATGCATGGGCCATGTCTCTAAACCAGAACTAAAACCAGGACTAAACCAGGACTAAAATCAGGTCTAAACCAGGTCTCAACCAGGTCTAAACTAGAATTAAACCAGGACTAAACCAGAACTAAAACCAGGACTAAAACCAGGTCTAAATCAGGACTAAAATCAGGTCTAAACCAGGCCTAAATCAGGTCTGAATCAGGTCTAAACCAGGTCTAAATCAGGTCTAAACCAGGTCTAAATCAGGACTAAACTCAGGTCTAAACCAGGTATAAAATCTGGTATAAAATCAGGTCTAAACCAGGTCTAAACCAGGACTCAAACAGGATTTAACCAGGACTAAAACACGCCTCAAGAACCGCATCTGCTATTCCACCAGTCTGTGAAAATATTGTCCCGAAAAGAGCGCCACTGCAACTTAATAATTACCTTGTGTCTCTAAATGGCAGAATGTTGAAAAAAAAAGCTAATGTGCCGCCAGTCCAACCAAGGAAAAAAAAATATGTCAGAGTACAGGGACGTTTAATAAAAAATGGAAATGCTGTCACGCCGACATTGACGTCTAAATATTGGTATGTCGGAATGTAACCATGTTTCTAATGGAGCGTCCATCAAATGCTTTTCTCCATGGAAATGTTATTGCTTTGTCTGGAATGTTTCTCAGTCTGGTATTAAACTTTTCTATCTTCATCAAGACTAAGTTATAGGTTAGATCTGTGGAGAGGCTGTCCAAAGTCAGTCAGAATGCCTTTTTTTTTTTTTTTTTTAGGTATTTTTGAGCTATAAAACCACCAGTAATTGAATAAATAAAAAGCAGAGATGTTTAATGTCATACTGGGGAACATTTAAAGGTTGTATAGAGGATTTTCCAAGGAACGAGAAATCCAGCGACTGTTTGTCCTTTTTCAAATGTTGCGCATGCGTGAAACCACCCCCCCTCCCCTACAGCTCCCTACGTAGAAACGCCTCCTCCCGCCTCCTCCTTACGCCAGAGACAGGTTTGTTTACAGCCGGTGTGCTGCACATGACTTGTAAACAACTAACTACAGTGTTGGTTAGGCAAGACGGAGAAGTGAGGAGCGGGGGGAGCGGGTGTGCGGACATTTCGTTCGCGGACGAGAAGTGAGGAGCAGGGAGAAGAGCGGAGCAGGGAGCAGGGAGAGGAGAGAGGAGAGGAGAGAGGAGAGGGGAGCGGTGCGCGGAGATTCCGTGCCCGGAAGAAGTGAGGAGCAGGGGAAGAGCGGAAAGGGGAGCGGGGAGAGGAGCAGGAAAGGGGTGCAGAGAAAGGTGCGCGGAGATTCCGTGCGAATGAACTAGCTACAACACGCAGCAGCAAGCGGACTCTTTCTTTGCCTTGAAAATTACGTTTTCAGACATAGGATATCGCTTTCGTGTCCTGAAAAACATTTGACTAGCTCTTGGAAATAAAGTACGTTTTCATAATAAGCAGAAGTGACCTGTCCAGGAGTAATTTGGCGACCAATGCGTCAGTCTTTAGACCCTGCGTCTGCTTCAGTTGCGCCATCGCTGGAATGAATCTTCAAGAATCACCTTAGTTTGGCTTCGCTGCTTTTCCCCTTGTCTTCTTCTTTCAGCGACCTCAAAAACGGACTTTCTTTTGCGGCGAACTGCTCCTGGATTCTTGTCTGCCATTGCAACAAACTTTGTGCTAACTGCGAGGAAGATATACAGCGTCTGTGCGTCTTGCGTCTGTGGACTGCGTGACAGGCGTACGTAAACCACGTACCGGCGGCGCGCAGGCAAGTCAGTTACGCTAGAAACGTAGGGAGTTTGATTGACAGCCTGTCAGCTAACAGATAACGAGGCAGTGTCGTTATCTATTGGCAAATGTTTAGCCCCACCACATCCAGAGTTGATGAATTTTATTTCTTTTTTTTTGTCATCATAATTACAAGGCTACTGCACCTCTATAATGCTATCATTGACAACTTGAAACAAACAAACAAAAAAAAAAAATCCTCCATACAACCTTTAAGGCAGAGCAATCATACAGTATATCCATAGATACAAGCAGGTGACGCACACAGTTACACAATGCAGATAAAACCTTCAGTATTATTGTATTTTCTATTTTAGTACTGTATTTTATTCATGTGGAGTTATGATCAAGATTTTCTGTAAAATGATGTGTCCATAAACTACAAAGTCTAATGCTGCATGCACCAGTATCAGTGTAGACCTTGTAGGCGAGTGAAGACTGACCTGCCTTCTGTCGAGAGCGATGGCAGTCAGGGTGAGCGTGGACACATGCAGAGAGCAATACTGCACGAATCGACTGATATGGCACATGGCTCTTCCGAAAACCCAGGTGCTGTACACAAAGCGTACCTAAAGGAGATAGAAAAACAACCATGTTATGCAACAAGCTGGTTTTCAGATACAACATTCTATAGGCCAATGTTATGTCAAGGTGCGCTGTATAACTTTTCTGGTGTATATTTTACTCATTTATTTTGTTACAGCGCTACAGTTTTTTTGTTTGTTTAGAAAAAGGAAACTCATTTATGCAACACTTTTGACATTTTCACAGTTTTGATGATGCATGTTTCATATGAACTTTGCACAAGAAGTGGTTTAACAAAGACTTTTACTATCACAGCCGTCATTTAGCCATTATTTTTTATTGAGCTGTATCAAATCAATTTGAAATATATCATAACGAATCAAAAGCTCACTGTATCGAGTTATGTACAGTACTGGCAACTTCTTAATGATATCCAGCCCTAATGAGGATGCTATTTCTTTGTATGGAATCTGTCACAGTATAGCACTAAACCTTTCTCTCATCAACAGGTCAAGTTATAGGTCAGATCTATGGAGAGACAGCCTCACCCCCTGTCAGAATGCATGTTTTTCTAGGTATTTTTTAAAGAAAAAAAAGAAAAAACACCTCTAATTAAATAAATGTAAGGTAAAGCTGTTCAATGTCATACTGTGAAACATAGGTAAAGTAATGACATGTCCATAGATTCAGACCCTCCACCAGAAAAGTTTCATAATAGATGGGGGCAGCTAAATTTTGTATTGTTGTTTGTTGTAATAGAGTGAGTCCTTGGGTCTAGTCTAGTTTCATATAATTAATAGAGGAGTCTGTTTCCTGCCCCCCATCTGGGAGTATGACATTGCTTTGTAGTATCTGAAAGTCACCTGTATAAAGAAAAAAATCCTGTAAAGACTGTGTTAAGCTGTTCTCCAAACAACATCGCTACAATACGTTCTGCAGTAGCCCAGGTTTAGATCATAAAGAAGACACAGCAACCTTGTTTGTTCTCTAGACTTCTACAGGATCTACAAGGATACAGATCTACAAGAGAAATCTGGACACAGCAGCTCACAAGACACAATACAGTATAACAACGAAGAGCAAAAATATAAATGGTAATAATAAATATCAATAAAAGTAGCAAAACTAAAAAGAGACTGGTGTCAAATAAGGCATAATTACACATATATATATATATAACCGAAATATTGTGAAATTGTATTGTTAAGTCTCATATATCGAATCACAAGTTCCTTTGCTGAAATGATTTTTTTTTATAGTAGCAACAGCTTATAAGCATTGGGAACTACATATGATTCATTTCAGCGCAGACAACATGAAGAAATATGTTTTTACTTGAATTTTTAGGATTATGACAGAAATAATTCGCACCAAAATCTTGTCAGGGTATTTTAAATGCCAAAAAGTGTCCTATTTACAATTATATCAGCCTCTCCAAAATATCGCAATAAATATCGTATGTATCATGATAATATCGTATTGAGAGATTTGGATATCGTTACATCCCAAGTAAAAATACAAGTGCAAATAAAATATAGAAATATAGCAATACAAATACATTTCTCAGCTATATGCAAGAGGTCATAAAGAGGAAATAATGATTGACAATACATAGAGTTATTTGTTACATAAGGGTCAGTTACATTTTTTATGGAATAGGATATGAATGTGTAGTCGAGGGTCTCTACAATAGAAGTGAACCTGGTTTTGATCATAAAGTGGAAAGAAAACAACTGTCAAAGACTGGACTGTATATATATGTGGACATAGATAACCTGCTAAAATAGCCAAAAAGGAAGTGAACATGGGAGCGCTTCTGGCTCCATAGACCCTGTTTCCAATTCACTTCATTTTTTATTTATTTATTTTTTTCAATATCAAAGTAAAAATACATGAAAAGACAAAAATGTATAAATAGAAATGAACCAATAATTTAAATAAAATGAAGAGAGCGAAAAACATAAATGTCGTTCCTCTCTTTGTAACTTACAGAAGCCGGGAGGGCTCATAACAAACGCAAACGCCGCAACAAATACAATTGTGACAACAAAACAAAAAGCCACAACAAACCAAAAAAAGGCACAATGGAAGTGAATGCGGGACTCTATTTTAATACAAACGCCACAACAAATACAAACAACACAGCATAAATGCAAACACTACAGCAAAGCAAAAAGCCACAACGGAAGTGACCGCGAGACTCAATTTTCCGACTGACCAAGTGAAGCGTTAAAGGATCAAGCGAGAAGTGAATGGGAAAAGCTGAAGAAGAACAAGAATGTGAAAAGTAAATGAAAGTTGAAGTGAACAAAGTCGGAAATGTAAGTAAAAGTAATTTATTGTTTTGTGGCCAGGATCGATGTCCATACTATCTGACCATCGCTTGGTCCGACGGAAAATAGAGTCCCGCTGTCACTTTCGTTGTGGCTTTTTGTTGTGTGGTGGCATTTGCATTTGTGTTGTCATGTTTGTATTTTTTGCGGCGTTTGCATTTGTTATGAGCCCTCCCGGCTTACGTAGTAACTGCTTCAGTGAGCCTCATCATTTGGGTCTTTACATGTTTGTATTAACTCACTGTGCTTTTGCTTTTTCTGGTACAGTCTATGGTTTATATAAAGAAGAAATCTGTGGGGATTGAATAAAGAGATGTTTTCCCAGGCAGCATCTCTACAAAGCTCTGAAGTGAACCAGGTTGAGATCCTTGTGGCTTGAACCAATCTCATTTTTCTGATGTAGATTTCAGAAGGATTTGGGTGCAACAAGGGACGACCAAAGCTGATCCCAGTGGAAAGGATTTAGGCAGTAACAGCATGCGGTAATGAGTTTTAGAAACCTGATAGTGTTTTTGTGTTCATATCATGTCGAAGTGTTCAACAGATATTTTCATCAGAATCCAATTTTGTGATTTCACGTTTTTTTTTTTTTTATAAACAAAACCACAAACAGAAATGAGATGCTGCCATTGTTGCCTTCATTTAGTACAGAAATTAAAGGTGCACTGTATAAATTTTCTGGTACAGGTCCAGAAATTGTATCCATGTCCATGGAGATATGCCATAGAGATTGCTATTCTTTCTTTCTTTTTTTTTTTTTTTCTGAAAAACACACATTCTAAACAAGGGCCCACCTCTCCACAGATCGGACCTGTAAATGGAAATCCAGGCAAAGCAACAACATCTCTCTGGTGGTAGACCATCCACCTGGAAAGTTACACAGTGCACCTTTAACCAAATAGTCTTTGTATGAGTAATGTTGATTGTGTTTAGTTACACAACTGGCCTATACTTTCATATTATTCAAATTAATTCATAATCTTTACTTTGAAATGGAACAAAGGAACAGAGGTGACTGAATCTGTACAATTAGACCATAAAGCTGACAAAAGAAAAAAAAAAAAAAACACTCATAATGGAAGAAAATGGGATGAGGTAAGACTCATTTTAATCCACTTCAGTGTTAGAAAAGACTTTTAAAGGGCCCATATTATGCTGTTTTCTGGCGTGTTATAATCTTGTTTTCTCACCAAAAACCTGTGAAGAGTTTTGTTTTGCTTCATACATGTTTAACACACAAAATCCTGCATATTTCACCAAAGTTCTTCTCTCAAACACTCTGTTCCACCTTGTGATGTCATGTGGTAATACAGGAAGTGCTCCACTGTGTTTTAAAACTCTATACGCCTTCACTAGAATCATTACCATTATCATGATTATTACAATTAAGAGTGGAAGGGTGAAAACTTTAGTTTACAGGGCCCACAGTACACTATTTTCTGAGCTATTTTGTTTCCTCATAGCCTGATTCATCAGCCGGTTTCACTTCGTGGAAACTGTCTGACCTTGCAGCATTAGAATTTGTTTGCTCATGGTAGGTGGGTACTTTTTTTATTTAACCAATCGTTGCTATTTGATAATGACATATGTAATGTGACGCTAACAGGGGCTAACTGGTATATTAAGCTTTTCCCAAATCCCGTATGAAGAAGGGCAATAAGGTCTTTTCTATTTATAAAATTCAACAAACATTCTCTTTGTTCCGGCTTTAAATCCTTGATCTCGGGAATTGTTGCCATCACCGAATGTATGACTCTTCGCTGATTGGCTGGTGCCCGGACTCACACATCCGGGGTTCTTGCAAATTGTCTAGTGTATTCTGATTCCTGACCTAGTCTCTGGAGAGAAATGAAATTGAGCGGAGGCACTAGGTGGCGCCAGCCTGGCTTGTTTCTTCATCCCAAAAATGACTGGAGTTGTGTTTTTGTTTTCACTCACAAACCCTGCATATTTCGACTGACTTTTTCTCTCACACAATGGTCCACTTTTCCAATATGCTTTCACTAGAATTATTTGGATAATTTGAGCCCTGGAATTGCCAATCTCTACTGAACAAAAGGTACAGAGTAGCTGTTGAAAACTACCAGTACATGACATCACGAGGTTGAACAGAGCATTTTGAGCTTTGGAGATGACAGACTAATAATAAAGGATTACTCAAACATGTGTGAATGAAACAAAACACAGCTCCAAGTATGTTTTTGAGGAGGTAACAACATTATAACATGATGGATTGAACCTCAAGACTCAATTTTGTGTAATATATCACTCTATGGAACAACCCAATCTGTAGCAACGGTGTGAGAATGATGCACCTTCAATCAATCAATAAAATATTTGGATTTTACTTTAGAAACCCAAAAGCATATGCCTCAAAGCCTCCTCCATCCACTGCAGAATGTGGCTCTGTTCTTTGAAGGTGCAGATTCACCCATCAGATAAATGAGGACTCATTGGCAAACACGCTGGAGTCGTGTGTAAACAGTTTAAACCCTGCCGAGCTTTTCCTTATTAAAGGGGCACTGAGTTCTTTTTATAATTGGAGCCAACTCATTTTGGACCGTGATATGTTGGTGACGTAAGTACAGATGATAAACCCTAACCCTAACACTGAAATGAATTTATGCCTGACACTATAGTCCAAGAGCAAAATTAAACCACAAAAAATATTCTAAATCTAAAATATTGTTAAAAAACCATGAGGTATATTGAATAAGTAGAAGAATGGAACACTTTAGTACTTAGTTTGCACCTGTAATGAGTCACTGAAGTTGTTAATTCTGCCAGGAAAAAAAAACAAACATATTTCCCAGTAGGGCAAAAAAAAAAGAAACCTATATTGAACAATAATTTAGTATAGTAATTATCATGACAGCAGGTCTATTGTGTTGTTTCTCTGGCACAAAATAAGCAAGCTGTTAACTAAACGAAATATTTTTTGGTATTTGAATAAATGAAAGATTTTGGAGTTTATACTATACTGGGGAATTATTCAGATAAAACACTACAACACTGAGACAAGCAGGTGACAGACCCCAGGAAACTTAAAGATGAGCTGTGCAACTTTTCTAGTCTGCTTGTCTTCGTAGAGATGTTCCACAGTTGGGCACTAAACATATCCATCTCCAAAAAGATAAGGGACACCACCAGGCCAAGTTACAGGTCAGATCTGTGGACAGGCGAGCCCACTCACTGTGTGAATGCACGCTTTTTCAGGTGTTTCTGAGCAATAAAAACACTGATAATTAAATATATGCAACATAGATGACATTGGTGCCATATTGTGGAACATTCAAGCAAGTGACAGACCCCTCAATAGAAAACTTACACCTTTAAGCACATGTCTAGACTGGACAGGACATCTAAATAACCCAAGAGATCGGATTGGATTTATATGTTGAAGGAAAATGAATTGAGAGATAAGAAAACAAGCAGAGCAGAGAGGAATCTGGAAATCAAGGTTAATCGACAAATTATAAGAAACATTATGGCAAGTATAAGCAGAAGGGTGGAAACTTGACTTTAAAGGGCTTATATTATGCTATTTTCTGAGCTATTTTGTATCCTCATAGCCTGATTCATCAGCTGGTTTCACTTCATGGAAACCTTCTGACCTTGCAGCATTAGAATTCGTTCGTTCAACGGTAGGCGGGTACTTGTTTTTATTTAACCAATCGCTGCTATTTGGTCGTTATGTATGTAATGTGTTACTAACGGGCTAACTGGTATAGTAAGCTTTTCCAAATCCCGTAGGAAGAAGGGCAGTAATGTCTTTCCCCTTGATAAAATTCACCAAACAGTCTCTTTGTTCCAGCTTTAAATCCTCGCTCTCAGAAATCATTGTCAACACAGAATGTATGACTCTTCCCTGATTGGCTGGTGCCCAAACTCGCACTTTTGGGGTTCTTGCAAACCGTCCAGTGTATTCTGATTCATGACCTACTCGCTGGAGAGAAATTAAATTGAGTGGAGGCACTAGGTGGTGCCAGCCTGGCTTGTTTCCTCATCCCAAAAATGACTGGAGTTGTGTTTTGTTTTCACTCACAAACCCTGCATATTTAGACTGACTTTTTCTCACACACTGGTCCACTTTTCCAATACATTTTCACTAGAATTATTTGGATAATTTCAACCCTGGAACTGCCCATCTCTACTGAACAAAAGGTAAAAGGTGTAGTTGTTAACTTGAAAACTACTACTACATGACATCACAAGGTGGAATGGAGCATTTTGAGCTTTGGAGATGTAGACAGACTAATGATAAAGGCTTGCTCAAACGAAATGAGTGAAACAAAACACAACTCCAGTTCTGTTTTTCAAGAGGTAACAACATTTTGACATGACTTAAAGCTCACAAGAGTAAATTTTGCGTAATATAGGACTTTTAAATATAGTGTAATATCATTCACATGCGTAAAAAGCGTACCAACTATATCAAGGCTGAAACAAAAGAAGGCTCAGAGAGAGAGAGAGAGAGATAGAATAGGCCTGTGTAAATTGTTCTCCAAAGTTGTGCGGCGCCTATCCATGACTCATATATGTGCAAAGCTTATAAGATCTTACCAGAGTGAAGGGGGTGTTGAGCACCGTGATAAAAATATCCGCTATGGCCAGGTTCATTATGAAGAGACTGGTGGAGGATTGCGCGCGCTTGTTTTTGACCACCACATGGCACACGAGCGTATTCCCAAACAGCGAAATGACGATAATGAGGGAGTACGCGGCCACGAGAAGCGCTTTGACGCACCCCCCCTGAGACTCCCCGCCGCGCGTCCTGCTTGAGGCCAGAGTGCGCCAGTCTTCCAACAAATCCTCATCCAAGTCCAGCAAGAAAAAGCCTGAAGTGCGGTTATGCGCGTGCACAGAAGACGCGTTTAACAGGTTCTCTGGGTAAGAAAATATCCGGTCTTCCAAAAGTGAGTTGTTTTTAAGTGCGCTCCCTCCTGTCCCAAGCCAAAAGAGCGTAAGTAGGCCTATTCCAAGACCCTTCGAAGTCATTTTAACCCCTCTCACGTTGCGTAATGGTGATTCGTTGTGCCGCCAGCTCTGTTCGGTCTTCAGTCACCGACTAGAGCAACAAGTTGGAGAGATGCTGCTGCCACTCCGCCGCGTGACAGATGTTTGATGCGCGCGCTCAGCGGCTATGGAAAAGGTAGGAGAGTGAGGGAGGAAAGCGGCGAAGGAGCTACCCCATTGGTTCAATAGATCGGCTCCTTTACAGCAGCAGAATAAGTGAGTAAGTAATAATTACGCACAGAAACACCACGCGCTCGTTGGCCGTGATTTTCTCAAATCATTCGGCTCCTGCTCCCTTTCAGCGGGCTAAGCACCTGCATCCTAATAAGGCTTTTAGAGATAGTATAATAGTGATAATACATCTTTATTTATTAAGTACTTTTAAAAACAAGATTTAAAAAGTTCTACAAGAAGAAAAGAAAAATAACATAGCATCCAGAAAGCACACAAAAACAAACAATGATGCAAACAATTCAATTAATTATAATAAATCAATTAATAAGATAGAATAAAATCGAGTTAAAACCAGCTAAAGCAAGGCCATCAGATAAAAAAATAAAAAAAAAGTTGTAAAAAGTGATTTAAAATGTGATATTTGATGGCGAGTGTCTTATCTCCTCCAAAGCCTGAACTGAACAGCCACAGGAATCAGTCTGAGGATCTAAGGCTGCCCGAGGGCAAGTACGGGCTTCTGAAATGTAACTTGGTGCAAGACTTAAACAAGCTTTAAAAGTGATCAGTAAAAACTTAAAATCAATTCTAAAACAGAGGCAGCCAGCATAGGGAAGATAAAACGGTTTGGCCAAATGTGTGACTGTCCCTTGATCATTGAAATCCGGCAGAAATCAGTCCAAAGTTGAATTAACCACACAAATCATCCATTCAGTCCAAAAGGTCTTTAACTAATGAACTAGGTAAATTATTTTTTTACTTTTGATGTTTTTGACTTATGAGTATTTTCCAGGTTAAAAGGTTTAGCTGAGAGATATACTTATATTTGTATTATTATAATAACATAGCATTTTTATTTTTATTTGTGCATATACATTTCTATAGTTTTGCTTTACAGTGTTTCTCAAACTATACTACGTGCTGCTGTCAATTGAATCCATATTTTTTTCCACTGTTTTTTTTTTTTCCATTTTAGTATATATAATAATGTGTTTCTCACCTTCCACGGTGGTAGGTCTCTCTCACCCTCATTGAGCTCGGGTCCTCTACCAGAGGCCTGGGAGCTTGAGAGTTCTGCGCAGTATCTTTGCTGTTCCAGTACTGCACTTTTCTGGACTGAGATGTCCGTTGTTTTTCCCGGTATCTGTTGTAGCCACTCTTCCAGTTTGGGGGTTACAGCCCCGAGTGCTCCGATCACCACAGGCACCACTGATGCCTTTACTTTCCAGGCTCTCTCCAGCTCTTCCTTGAGCCCCTGGTATTTCTCTAGCTTCTCGTGTTCCTTTTTCCTGATATTACCATCGCTTGGTATTGCGATGTCAACCACCACCACCACCATATATATATATATATATATATATATATATATATTATATATATATATATATATATATATATATATATATATATATATATATAGTTGTAGTCCTATATTATCCTATAAGCCTTGATTAGGCCTTAAATTAGTTCTATAGTCTGACTAGTCTAATGCCTCCATATGAAAGGTCAGTGGTGTCATTGTCAGAAGAAGAGAGAATTTTTATAGCGAAGATATTGTTTTGATGAGTTTACCAAGGAAGCAGGTAAGTGTTAGAGAAGAACAAATATATTCTAATAATAATAATAATAATGGTGATAATAATAATACTACATAACACTTGTATAACACTTTTCATGACACTCAAAGACACTTCAACTCAGATCCAGACAGACACAAACACAAATGAAAGAAAACAGGAGATGAAGTTATTTAAAAGCAGTTTTGAACAGGTAAGTTTTCCAAGCTTTTTTGAAGATATAGTGAGTGTAGACGAGTCTCTGATTCTGAGTCAAGCAAGTCACGCAAGGTCTATCAAGTTAAAACTATAATGCACTGTGCAACTTTCTGGTACAGGGTCCACCACCAAGCATTTTTCCCCCCAAACTGATACAAGATAGTAGGCATATCGAGTCAAAATAATACAACTTTTAAAGGTGCACTGCGTAACAGTTACAGTGGAGGGTTTGCCACCTGCTTGTCTCCATGGAAGTGTTATTGCTTTGCCTAGAATGTTCCACAGTACAGTATGTATAGAAGCAGGTTACAACACTACGCTACAATTCAGATCTGTGGAGAGGCGCCCCTGTTCAGAGAAATAATTACTATATTTTTGATGAATAGAAACACCTGTAATGAATACATTTTTGATGGATATATTTAAGGTCATACTATGGAACATTCCAGGCAAAGCAGTAACACCTCCATGGACCCAAGGAGATGAACCCTCCACTATAAATGTTACGCAATGCACCTTTAAACATGGTATTGTTTTGACTCAATATGGCTACTATCTTTTATCAGCAAAAAGCTTGGGGGAAAAATGTTTGATGGTGGACTCTCTACCAGAAAGTTGCACTGTCCACCTTTAAAATGTCATAATTACAGATTCACAGTTTAACCAGTTAATTTTCATTTTAATTTCATTTTAATGAGTTAGTTTGTATGAGTCTCAATTTCATGTTTAATGAGTTATTTTTGCATGTTTTAGCAAGTTAGTTTCATGTCTTAACAAATAATTTCACACGTTTTAACATTTTACATGCTGAACAGGGCTGTGTGGCATCTAATTGTGCAGGGAAGGGAGTGGACCCATGTCACCACACCTCTATGCTCCACAGCCCTGTTTTCTCACTTTTTAAGGACATTTTTGAAAGTAAATCAGTCTTATCTTTTTGTTTTTTAATTTTATTTTAAGTTCAGCATGTGTTATGTGTAAGAGTGGGCAGCTGGGTTTAAGAGGGCTATAGGGTTGGGTCGACTAATGTGGCATTTGTACCTTGTGGCATTATTATGTGACTGTAAAGCCACAACAATGAAAAAATCAAAATATAATACTTACAGAAGACAAAATAGACAAAATAGAATACATACAGAAAACAATATAGACAAAATAGTATACATACAGAATGAAAATGAAAAAAACCCACCCTCATCCTGGCCATAGCTTTAACCTGAATCTTAAAATCAGAGTCAGAACTTCACCCTACAGCCCAACAAACATGAACACAGAGCTGTGGGAAGAAAGAGATGGTCCTCAGGGGGAAAGACCTGGATTTTTTAAAGAACCAAATCTTTTTTCCCTTTTTTTTTTTTTTTTTTAATTTTCTAATTTGTATGCATTTTTACACTGATTTATGCTGTACCAATGCAAAGGTCAGCACAGATGCAGAGGAGGCAACCAAAGTGAGATCTTTTTTTGCAAAAAAATTGATTTGGCATCATAATAACAGTTTGTTTTTAATAATTATTATTGTACAAACACACTCCCACTGTCTTGTAATTAGTTTGTAGTTAAAATGAGTTCTCACATTGGCTTCTGTCTTGTAAATAAACAGTAAAAGAGACAAGTCTTTTGAATGGCACTTTGAAATGAACCAATCCAAAACATTTGGATCCCATAAAAGAGCTGAAAGTCCCATGACGCATCCAGCGCTTTTTATTTTGCTTGTACAGTATATGTTTGTTTAACTATGCACTGCAAAAACTATAATCTAACCAGGTTAAGTTGACTTGAATTAAGAAAGTTTTATCATGAGTAAAATTATCTCCCAATGGAACAAGGGTATTTGTACTTTAAATATGAAAATACATCTTGCTACACTTATGAAAAGAAAAATAAGAAGCATCTAATGTTTCTTCAATTAAGAAAAACACGCTTATTCCACTGGTTGATCATTTTACTTCTCAAGGTGAATCTACTCAAATAAAGTCAAATGTTCTTAATCTAAATCATTGTAATTTACTTAGATATTGTTTTTTGCTGTGTGTTTGGTGACACAATAGGCTGCATGATACTCACATTTGTTTTAACATCATGAATAAACCCAACCTCATCTGCACGCTCAGCAGCTGTGGGGCCACATGAATTCCAAATGATTCAAATTAAAAGTAATGGGACGAGCTCCAACGTCCTGTGTTTCTTATTGACATGAGCTTGCGCGCCGCACTGAAAGCAAATTCCACTAAACTGTTGGTGTGGCCATTAACAAAGCCTCTGACTCTGTGTTATAACTTGTAATAATGGCCTAATGATTACGATTTAAGATAATAATTTATTGTCTCCCATGGGAGAAATTTGTCTTGGAATAGTGGGTTACACGCTTCTTCTTGTAAACTTTAAAGGGACAGGCCAGAATTTTGGACATAGGACCTCATTTCCATCCAGTCCTTGTATTTGCAGAGGTCGCTGGTGCTAGGCTAGTGCATGTCAATGGCCATAGTTATCCTGGCACTAAAAACAGTCTTACCCACTCCACAAAACACCCGAAGCAAATCTATTATTACACCAAACTGTTAATCTAAATGTCTGTGTTGATAGAATCATTTCTGAAGTAAAATCAACCTTGCATTTGAAGGATTTATGTCTGAGCAGCATCGAGTTGTTTTTCCTTATAGAAAGTTTGGCAGAAATGGACTGATATCACTTAGCACCTGTCTTACTAGCAAAGTAAAATTCTGCTGCTGCTGAGAAATAGTCCCTCAACATGCAAAAAATCAAGCGATTCAAGGTTAGTTTTACTTCTAAAATGATTCTATCAACACAGACATTCACACTGACAGTCTGGTGTAATAATAGTTTTGCTTCAGGTGTTTTGTGGAGTGGGTAAAACTATTTTTCACGTCTCCAAACGTCTGTCTGTCTCTGGCTCACTAGGAAATTAGGTCCTATGTCCAAAATTCCAGACTGCCCTTTAAGCCATGTTAGAATGTTGTTACCTCTTCAAGAAACACACCTGGAGTTGTGTTTTGTTTCATTTACACATTTCAGGAATCCTGGTTTACTAATCTGTCTACATCCCCAAAGCTCAAAATGCTCCTACCACCTTGTAATCCATACAGTGGTAGTTTTCAAGCTACCACTTACCTTTCGTTCAGAGGACAATGGCAGTTCCAGGGTTGAATGATTCTGGTTAAAGTGTATGATTAGTCACTGCATTTATATAGCGCCTTTCAAGACACCTACAGCACTTTACAGTTCATTGTTCTTTCACTCCACACTCAGTGGTGGCATGTATGCCTGGTCCTGCCCCTCCGACCACCGCTGACACTCACACACTCTCCACTTTCTTACTCACTTTCTGTGGAGTTTAAGCCTCAGCCTAAATATGCAGCGTTTGTGAGTTAAACGTGTGAATGAAACAAAACACAACTCCAGGTAGCTTCGTGATAAGAAAACAACACTAATAACACAAAGATCAGAAAATAGTGGAATGTGGGCCCTTTACCCAGTGGCGGAGTTAGCAATTTGGGGGCCCCAAGCAAACTTGATTTTGGGGCCCCCACTGTAACGCACCATGTTTTTGTTTTGTTTTGTTTTAATATATTTATTGTCTGTTTTTCCCCATTGTTCTTGAGTTATGCACATCTCTATTTATGTGAATTATGTTGGATTATTAGTTTGGTAGCCTTCTAGAAAACCAGAACTGAAAGTAGTTTTATATTTTTGCTAGTACAATTACATTTTTGTTCACATCCATTACATATGATGATGATTATTATTATTATTGATTAAAGGTAAACTACTCTCATTTAATGTCATTTTAAGAGAAAATCGAATTACTCCGAGTAGCACTGAGGGTAATGGGTTGGGGCCCCCTCCAGGTTTGGGGGGCCCTCGGCAGCCGCTTACTTTTGCCTAATGGTAACGCCGCCTCTGCCTTTACCCTAGAGAAAAGACATCGCAACACCATAAGCGTATACAACAACATCCACTGAATATAAATAAATGAGAGACTAAGAATAATCAGAAGAGATACATCAACTGGGGACACTCAACTCACTCAGGCATTCCACAGCCTTATGTTCTATTATTACTAGAGCATTCCTTATTTTTGATTCAATTAAAGTTTATTTATATAACACATTTAAAACCACTTCAGGTGATCAGTGCTTCACATAAAAGTCAGAAAAAACTGAAAAATAAACAGATGTAGAGACAACATAATACATATACTGTCTCACTGGTATTAAATGCCAGGGAAAAGAGGTGAGTCTTCAGTCTAGCCTTAAAGGTGCACTGTGTAACTTTTCTGGTGGAGGGTCTGTCATATTCTTTTCTCCATGCAGATGCTATTGCTTTGTCCAGAATGCACCACAGTATTGCGTTAAATCTATCTATCTCCATGGAGACAGAAAAGTGACACCACCAAACCAAAAAGTTATACATCAAGTCTGTGGAGAGGCAACCCTGCTCATGTTTTTTAAGCAATAAAAACACATTTAATTGGAAAAAAAACAATTGCAATATAGATCAGCTTTGTGTGACTGTGTAAGATATCAGGCAAAGCAAAACAATCAGATGACAGACCGTGCACTAGAAAAGTAAAGAAAAATGCACCTTTAAACTGAGTTACAGACTGAAAGGAACAGCAAAAAATAAAATAAAATAAAAATCTCTCAAAAAACCTGAAAACAATGAGTAAGACATACACCAGCTGTTTTAGTTTTTCATTTTAATCACTTCCCCTTTGTCCTTTCTGCCACTCTGATTCTGCACCACAAACACAGAAACATCTGTCTGGAAGTCTCATACTGGGTTTCCACATGGTTCCCCTGTCTGGGCTTTTGCCTCTTGATTATGCTCCGTGTCAGTGACTCAGGTCTAGTCTGGGACAGAGTCAGGCACTGAGTTTAACAGACAATACTCCTATGATGAAAATGAGCAGCACAGACTGTAGCTTCTCTGTGGAGCTCAACAAAAACGCTCACTGCTAGGTTCCGGAAATTTCCTATTCATTTTTCCCGTAGTCAAGTATATTGAAAAGACTGAAAGCGAGATAATTTTATTTGAATTTTGTTACAACTTTTGACTACTATTCCCAAGTTTTAAATGTGTTTTTGGACTGAGAACAATTGTATTATGGAGATTAGTTGCCACAAACTGCAAAAAGCTATAGCTAGGTAAGTTAAAATTATTTTTGTTTGAGCAGATTCAATGTGAAAATTAAAATTATCTATATGGAATTAGCCTGTTCTTCTTAATTCAAGCAACATTATATTTTGTTTCTAATTTTAAGTGCATAAAGTTGTTTTTCTTATCTTAAAGGTTTAACGTTTCTGGTGGAGGGTGGGGCAGATGCCATGGAAAAGATATCATTGCTTTGCCTGGAATGTTCCACAATATGACAGTAAGCAGCTCTACCTTACATTTTTAAATTACAGGTGGTTTTATAGCTCAAAAATACCCAGAAAAAACAGGCATTCTGACTGTGAGCGGGGTTGCCTCTCTACACATTTGACCTGTAATTTGGTCTGGTTTGGTCTCCATCAAGACACTTTAGAAAGTTTTAGTACCATACACAAAGCAATTCAGTCTTAACTTGGCTGGATTTTAGTTTTTGCAGTGCATTTTTAGCCTTTGTTGTGTCTTGTTGTTTGTTGTGTTAAACTCCTAAAACTTCTACTTTTTATACCCATCAAAATGTTTTGGCTAACTGATAGATTTTGCTGCTTTTACATGATGATGCCTGGTGTAAAGAGCATTTCTCTTGAGTCAAATACAGGTCTTTAAGGTGAAGTCATCTTGCACAGTATCGCATTAACCACAGAGAATTATTAACACTGACAGAATTGGACAAAACTGAAGTTGTCCTTGTTCTGAAATCCTCAACAAAGGGCTAAAATATTTTTTCTTATGACAGGGTTTATGGTTTTGTTATCTGTTATTCCTCTCATTTTATGCATTGTTGATAAAGCTAAAAAATGAAAGGTCCTATATTATGCCAAATTGACTTTTGTAAGATTTAAGACATGTTAGAATGTACCCAGAGTTGTGTTTTTATTACCCTTTACATCTCTAAACCTCAAAATCATCTGTTCCACCTTATAATGTCATGTAGTGACAGTTTTCAAGTTATCAAAATGATTCCTGTGAATGTGTATGTAGTTTAAAAACACAGTGGAGCACTTCCTAAAATAGAAATAACTCAACAGGTTTGAGCTCGAACATATCATCAACACTCAATTAAATATGCATAAATGCCATGTTTTAAAAGCTTGTGATTCATCTGGTTTTAAACAAAGTGCGTCATGTACGTGACAAATATTCAGTATCTGATAATAAAGTGTTGCGTTTCATCACTTCAGGCTTGGCTGCAGCGTCATTGAAGAGCCTATTAGCCTTGTCGAATAGAACATTATAAAATTTTGTAATAAAAAATTACGAATTTTAATTCTGTGCTTACAGTGGCCTGGAACAATTTTGTTTATAGATTTTATTTATACTTTACTTATTTATACTTATGCTTGTTTTCCTCATTTGTTAAAGGTGCATTGTAACTTTTCTGTAGCGGGGTCGGTCCATCATCATTGAGATGCTTTGTGTGGAAAGTTTCACAGTATGACATTAAACTTTTTTTATTATCATGGAGATCAAACCAGGTCACGTTAAAGGTCAGATCTGTGAAGAGGCAGCCCCGCTCACAGTCAGAATGCCTGTTCTTCTAAATGTTTTTGAGCTATAAAACCACCTGTAATGCAAGATAGAGCAGTTTAATGTCATACTGTGGAACATTCCAAACAGAACAATGACATTTTCATTGAAACGAGCAGGTGATGGATCCTCTACTGAAAAGTTACTTTGTGCATCTTTAAATAATTATTATAGAAGCCACTAAAATCAGTCTTTATGTTCACAAAAAAAAAGAAGAAGAAATGTGGTGTAGTGGGTAATGCTGTTTTTAGAATGGCATACTGTGTTAAGTAGCAGAATTAACAACTGCATGTGCAGAGGCAGACAAGTGTAAAACAAGATGGGAACAGTCTAAAGCCTGAAATGAGCAGAAAAGAACACATAGTGACAGTGAGATTAGCATAGTAGTATAATAGTATAGTGTGGTAAAATTATGATATGCTGGATTAAACATTAAACATTAAACATTTGTAGGTAAAATCCTGTGTTTATGAGAATATGGTCGAGTTATAGACTATAAAACATGCTATTTTAAACTGTAGCTGCCAGATGTAAAGACAAGAGACAGAATTTTGAAAATGAGAATTTAAGATTTTTAATATAATACCTATAATACCTAATATAAAAACTTAGCTATATAAAGGAATACAGTTTTCATGTAAGCATAGTTTTATGTACATTCCCAAAAGAGACAGGGGTTGCATTAAGTTGAACAGTGTATGAAAGGAATTACAGGGTAATTTAAGATCTTATTTTTATTAAATTTTTTAAGAGAAACAGATTTTTTGTTGTTGTTGTTGTTGTTTTGTTTTGTTTTTTTTTTTTGTTTTGTTTTTTAGCGTTTAACTCCACTTAGATTTAAAACAGTAGATACGCTGACCCACACTCCAGTACAGTAGGTGGCGATAATGCTCCCGCTCGTTGGTTACCACCGGCCGTCAACCGAACGAAGAAGAAGAAAAACAACAACATATCCCACAATGCACCTTTCCTACATGCTCGTAAAGGAAAGTGCGCAAATTTAGCCCTTAGACATGCTATAAGTGCGATTATTTAACATTATCTTTAGTTCGCACGCGAGGCATTACCCGTTGAACTAAGGTAGGCTTTTATTTGTAAACGTAAACGTAAAACAAATGCGATAAACACGAGATTTTACTGTTTGTCTTCTGCAAATTAGATTTACGCACGTAGTTCATTCATTATAGCTGTATCTCTTCTTACGCTGTTGTTCATCTAAATGTAGGGTGACCAAACGTCCCTATTTACCCTGGACAGTCCCAGTTTTGAGCCCTGTGTCCCCTGTCCCAGCAGATTTATCCAAAACCATTTATTTGTTGCAGTTTTATGCAATAAATGTCCCAGTTGTTCCTATTTTGACCACTTTGATCCCCACCAACAGTAAAGAGGCTAATATATTGTCATTTGTTTAGCTAAAATACAGAAAATTTTGCTTGAAAATGACCATAAGAAAAAAATGCATTGTCAGAAATCCCTCAGTTTATGATTATGACACACCAAGTAAGTTAAAACTGTACAATGTTGCTCTTACTTTTCACAATTTTATTAATATTAACCATCCGAACTCGGGTGTGTCCCAGTTTTGAATTCTGAAAATCTGGTCACCCTATCCAAATGCAAAAACAGACACTAAAATCAGCTTGTTTGCCTTGTGTACAGTAGGAAAGCATGCAGTTTCCAGAGGATTTTAACCAACTGGAGCTCCTAGACACACATGGGCACCTGATCCCCCGGGGTACGAGCAGCCTGTGGACAGGCAGTGAAGAGGAGGAGGAGACGGATGATGAGAGAGGAGAGCGCCCCGAGGAGTGGTACCTGCAAAAGGAGTCATTGCTCAAAGACAAACCCCAGGAACTTATATTATGGGCTGCAGAAAACAATCGAGTAAGTGATCATATTGTACTAAAGCTAGTCCTGTTATGATAAATATTAAAGGTGTACTATGTATAAGGTGAACAGATGTCCCTATTTTCCTGGGACAGTCCCAGTTTTAAGCCCTGTGTCCCCTGTCCCTGCAGATTTATCCAGAACCATTGATTTGTCACAGTTATATACAAGAAATGTCCCAGGTGTCCCTATTTTTGACCAATTTGATCCCTCCCAATTTTAAAGAGAGGCATAAACTCATTTGTTTCAGTAAAATACAGAAAATTTGCTTAAAAATGACCAAAACACAAAGTAAATGTGACTCTACTGACACATATGTTAGTCATGAATGGTCCGAGTGCAGAATGTTCCTTAATTACGCACTCGTTTCACAGTTTTATTATTACCAACCACCCCAAACCGGGGATGTCCCAAGTTTTTGATCTTGAAAATCTGGTCACCCTATCTATGTAACTTGAATGTATGACAGAAACAGTATGACATTAAAAGGTTCTACTTATTGTAACTTGGTCTGGTTTGGTCTCCATGAAGATAGAAAGGTTTAATGCTATACTCTAAAACATTCCAGACAAAGCAGTATTTGATGCCACCAGAAAAGTTATACAATACACAATTGATTTATTGTTCAGTATGTAGACAGAACAACTATTTTAGGGGGTCAATATTTATCGTGGAACTTTTTCTGTGTACTAGTGGAGATCTTTTTGTTATTTTGTTTGTACTATTTTGAGATCTGATCTTTTGAGAGTTGAATAAATTATTTCCATGACTCATTCTAGGCACAAACTAACTACTTAAGGTGTGCTGTGTAACTTTTCTGGCGGAGGGTCCGTCATATGCTTTTCTTCGTGAAAACTGTATTGCTTTATCTGGAATGCTTCACAGTATGATATTAAACCTTTCTCTCTTCATGGATACCAACCCAGACCAAGTTACAGGTCAGATTTGTGAAGAGGTGACCCCACTTATTTCCATAATGTTGTTTTTTGTTATTTTTGAGCTATAAAACCACCTGTAATTGAATAAATGTAAGGTAGAGCTGTTTAATGTCATACTGTGGAAAATTCCAGGCAGAACAATGACAATATATCCATAGAAACAAGCATGTGTAATTGTTTATTAGGGATAATTCTACTTATTGTGTCAGTGGCTTAAACTAGTTTCAATATTATCATTTATTGTATATATTTACTGCAACAGTATATCACACTTTAAAATGTGTTATCGTGACAGGCCTAACTACAGCAGTGTTTCCCATTAATACAGGAGGCAACGGTGGTTTTCATAATTGAAAATTCCCCCCCATAGTCGAAAAACACCCTGGACTAAATTGGCATAACAAAATTTGACTTTGTTGATCCAAAAAATTTATTTATGCATAACAAAATGTGGAAATTGAAATTGTGTCTTGTCTCGCCATTACTCCTCATTGTTCAGTCCTTATGTAGCCACACATATCTTTGGATAAATGAGTAAATAATAATATAATGGGGTCCTTTGTCTAATTACCATGGCAGCATCTATGTAACTATCTGTTGCTATAGTGAAGCCTATAGACGTTTGCTTGAAAGAAGATGGTGTTTATAGAGCCTTTCACAGTTGTCTCAAAAGTACGGATCTTCACTTATCGTTTCATTCAGTCATTTAGGGGAAAATTAGAGCCTAGTGAAAAGAGCACCTCGGGGCCACATAACTACATCTCTGAATTCTGGCAATTACGTCTAATGGGTGCACCTGTTGTGGATAATAATCTTGAATATTTAATGTTGAACTGCTGTATGATGTACGGTATGTTACATCTCCTTTTAAAACATTTGTAAGGCCGAGTGAATTTTAAACTATTTTAAATTTAATGCCTTGTCCTAACTGGGATACTGAGGTACATGTCTGTCCCAATATCAACTAAGCGGATTGTGGCTTATTTCAGCCTGTTGTTCCAAGGAGCTGTAAGGTCAGACGGGCCTCGTGGGATAAGATCCCGTCCTACAAGATCTTACAAATCAAAATGACACATCCAGGCTGATATGAATCCGCATTTTTTACACAGATCAATATCAGTCTGCTCTCTTCTCCCCTCTGCTGCGTCTCAAGCCAAACGTGATCTTTTTTTGTTTTTGTTTTTTTTCAGTGACACGTGAAATGAAGGAGCTCATTGGTCTCCTATGATTTGCAAATAAAGTCAAAGTTATCTCACCTCAGATTAACAGAGTTTAGTGGTTTGCTCATTAATTCTGCATTTTGCTAATTCTGATGTATTAAAGCCCCATGTGAGTTTTTTCCTTTATTTTTCTAATGCGGAAGGACCATCCACCTGTCAATCATGCCCATTTGAAAACCTGAAATTCATCAGTGACTAGACTCACATCTTCATAGGTATTGAAGAAATGTGTATTCTGTATCCCAGGCAAACAAGATTATGCGCACAGGAGAAAAAATATCTTGTCAGATTTTTATATTCCGTCTGTTTACATTTGGATTGGACAAAAAGGGGGGAAAATGTTGGTGATTTTGAGAAACTGTAAAAAGGCACTGTTAGAATGATAGAAAAAATGGTGGGGCCAAAATTGTGAGCTGAATTCTGAAAAAAAAATCTTGTTTTGTTCTTGTGGACCCAACCTCGTGTCTCATCTTTTGTAAATTGTGTCTCATTCCACCCCAAAGAACAACAACAAAACAAATATATTTCTTATACAAAACAAAAAAACACAAGTTCATGTCATTTTACAATCCATTCACTGGGCTTTGTTCTGTGCTGTGATACAGATTTTTTTCTCTTTTTAAGTGCTCAAAAGCTGTTGGTAAATGCTTTTGTAATCAGTGGTTTGACTGCAGGTTAAATGCAATTTTGGTTTGCTATTAATTGAAAATTTTCTGCGCACCATTAAAAGGCAGAGCAATTTTGCAATTTGCTATTTGTTTTAAAACACTAAAATGTTGCTGCTATAATTTTTTACCCTTTTACAGTGCTAGTATTGAGTCCATTTTGTGGTATTATTATTAAAGTCGCTAAAGGCATTTGGTGAAATTACTGTTAATTACACAGTTGAATAATTTCAACTGTCAGACCTCTCATATATTTACTGCAACAACTATTCCACTCCTTTAAGTTAAGTCCTGTCAAAATTTTAAAAATAAATAAATAAACTGCACCAAATAAATGAAAAACACTTTAGTTTGTATCAGTAATGGGTCATAGAAGTCACTTATTCAATTCTCTATAGCTCAGATCTTATCTTAGGACAGAAAAATAACCAAAAGTTCCCCACTAGTAAAAAGAAAAAGTACTAAGGATAAATAAATATATACCTTGAAAAAGTATTGTTCCATCTGTCACGTATTGAACAATAAGTCAATATATTATTTATCGTGACAGGCGTGACAAGACATGAACACACATTTTTAAAGAAGCAACATTTCCCCAGATATTTAGTATCAACTTGGAAAAAAGTCAGATACTCTTCATAGTGTGAAGAAGCAGAGAAAAAGTGTTAAAGGGGCATTGTGTAACTTTTCAGTTGGGGGTCCGTCACCTAGTCTGATTCATAAGCTGGTTTCACTTCATAGAAATCGCCTGACTTCGCAGCATTAGGATTCATTCACTCAACTTTAGGTAGGTACTTTTTTATTTAACAGTCGCTGCTGTTTGGTTGTGACATATGTAATGCACCAAATCCCGTAGGAAGAAGGTCAATAACGTCTTTCTTCTTGATAAAATTCACCAAACATTGTCTTTGTTCCGGCTTTAAATCCTTTATCTCGGGAATCGTTGCCAACACAGAATGTATGGCTTCGTCTACATCCATCTCGATCACTTTGTTTACTGTTGTGCTGTACCACAAAAGGGACCCAGTCATGGCTTCACAGCTCTTCGCTGATTGGTCGGTGCACACTCTACAACTTCCGGGGTTCTTGCAAACCGTCTAGTGTATTCCAATTCCTGATCTAGTTGCTGGAGAGAAATTAAATTGAGCAGAGGCACTAGGTGTTGCCAGCCTGGCTATCTGTCACCTGCTTGTTTCTGTGAATATGTCATTGCTGTGCCTGGAATGTTCCACAATGACCTTTACATTACTGTACATCAATTCAGTTACAAGTGGTTGCCTCTCTTACAGCGGGGTTGCCTTTCTACAGACATGATGTGTAACTTAGTCTGGTTTGTCTCCATGAACATAGAAAGGTTTAATACCATACTGCGAAACATTCCAGATAAAGGTTTGTCTCCATGGAGACAAACCTGTGATGGACTGTCCGCCAGAAAACTTACACAATGCACCTTTTAAAGTAGTTTTTGGCCCATTCTTCCTATTAAAAAAAATAAGATTTGATTCAAATCAAGTAATTTCTTGAGACCTTCTAGTGGCCGAAGTGCTGTATTCTGAAATCGATTTGTCTGTGTGAGTGGTGCAGTAATTTTGATGTGTGATGCTTTTTCACCTGCAACGGCAACCTCAATTTTGGTGTAATTTAACTGGACTATAATCTCTTTGTATTTTAGTTTTGCCAAAATTTTGCTCTGAAAACTTAAGTATCCTACAGTATATTATGCAAAATTTATTCTTGTGAGGTTTAAGCCATGTTAGAATTTGTTTCATTCACACACGTTTGCGTATTGAGTGTTAGTCTGTCTACATCTCAAAAGCTCAAAATACTTGTGGATTTGAGAGAAGAACATGTGTGTTAAACTTGAGTGAATGAAACAAAACACAACTCCAGGTATGTTTGCGATGGGGAAATAACATTATAACAGATCATGATCATTTTTATATTGAAATGATGCTCTTTCCACTTCTGTCTTATACCCTTGAAGTTTCTAACCCCTGCAATTTTAAGCAATTCACACAGATGCATGCCACATAGTGATGAGTAATAATAACCAGGAGCAATCCTGCTGAAGGTTTATGGACTTCAGAGATGTCCTGGGGAGGAAAGGGGCGATATGGGTATGAGTTATTATATTATATTATATTGCTTTACATGATTCTTCACTTGATTTGCTTATTTCTAGCTCTCCACTGTCAACAGCCTCTTGGCCACTGACGCTGCACTCGTCCACTGTAGTGATGAGGATGGATACTCGCCACTCCATCGCGCGGCATATGGTGGCCATGTTGACGTGGCCTCAGCCCTTCTTCACTCCTACGCCAGAGTGAACGCTCGCACTGCTGACGGCTGGACGCCTCTGCACAGCGCCTGTCGATGGAACAGAGTGACCATGGCCAGTCTCCTGCTGCGCCACGGGGCAAAACTGAATGCACAGACAAACGGAGGACTGACCCCTCTCCATTTGGCCGCTTCAAACCCAGACTCTGCCCTCACACTAGAGCTCCTTTTATCCCAGCGGCACTTGAACGCATCACTCCGCAGCAGCAGTGGGGAGACGGCCAGTCAAGTGGCACAGCGCAGTGGACCTCATTACTACCTGTTTGAAATGGTCGAAGAGTGTGTCAGTGTTTTACCATCACATACATAAATACCATGGTCAGTGAGAATCCCAATGGCTAACACACAAGTAGTCCAGCTACTAACTGTGGATAGAATCTAGTAACATTATTTAAAACATTGACAAAACTGATATTTTGGACATTTACAGAAAGGGATTAGGTTTTAACATTCACAAATGAGACATTTCAGTTAATAGCTGTGATAGAAGCGTATTATACAACCAGGAGCTGTGCGTTGTGCAGTTTTAATGCACTTTGCTTCGCGTTGTGGTGTTAAAACTGTATAACACACAGATCCTCATTGTTTAATGTGCTTATACCACAGCTACAAACTGAAATCTCACCTGTGAATTTGAAAGCCTGTTCACTGTCTGTAAATGTGTCAGTGTTATCTTGTTAATGTTATTTCAGTGTTGAAATGAATGAAATGAAATGCTTTTGTGATTAATTTTATCTGATTGAAAATAAATTTGTCACTCACTGTTTTTGTGAGCTTTTCATCAAGTAGTCCTTCTAAAATACAATATGTACCCATTTAAACTCTTTCAAAGCATTCAGACTCCACTTACACTCCATTTTCTTTTACTTTGAATTCATGTTAACATGTTGAAATCAATCCATAAGTTAACATTTGTAATTATTTGTTGTGAGCAACTTGTTTGCCTTGACATATTGTTATGACATCTTCAACCTGCAGCTAGAAGAACTATGCAAAGAAGTTCTTTTCTGGACATGTTTTCAATCCAGAGATACCTGAGGGCATTTAAGGTTTGATAGAAATTCTTCCTTCTTAGTCAGTCAGTGCTGGAGTGCTGACAATGTCTAATGAAGATCACTACTTATAGGGACAGATTACACTATTTTCTGGCCTATGTTAATATGTTTCCTCATCACAGACATATGAATAGTTTATGTTTCATTCACACGTTAAACATAAAAACCCTGTATATTTATGCTGAATTCTTCGCTTGAACAGAAAACACTCTATTCTACCTTGTGATGTCATGTCGTAATCTAGGCAGGTACTCCACTGTGTTTTTAAACTCCATACATCTTCACTAGAATCACCCGGATTATTTTGTCCTTATAATTGCCAATCTCTACTGAACAAAAGGTAAAAGGAGCTGTTAACTTGAAAACCAGCGCTTCGTGACAGCACAAGGTGGAACAGAGCATTCAGAGCTTTGGAGATGTAGACAGACTCAATATTTTTGATGAGGTAACATGACCTGAAGCTCTTAAAAGTAAATTTTATATAATATTGGACCTTTGATAGTGTTAAAGGTCGAAGCATTTGTTCGATGTAACAGTTTTCTTACTTGAGTTTTATCACTGACTACTCCATATGCACAGGAGCAGTTATATCACATGTCTGTTCTGAAAACTGAACGGGTACAGCTAGATGTTTCAAATATTTCTCATTATAAAGTTTGATATTAGCTTTACCAATTTTAGATGCAGTCGTGTGAAATACTGTAAATATTGATGTTTGAAAATGTTATAGGTTTTGTTCAAGAATAAAAAGGTCAACTGTGCCTTCCCTCTTCCAGTGAACTTAGTTGGGGCGAAGTGTTGTTAAAGCTGACTTTCTTTTTGATTCAAGTAATACTTTCTGTGGTACATTTGATTTATTTTTGCATTCTAAACCCAAACAGTCTGGCTGCTTTGTGAGAGACAAATCTTTTGTATCCATTCATGTCAAAGAGCCAAAAGACTGGCTTCTGTCAAATAAATAAACCACAAAAGAGTTAATTTGAGGACATCAAATTCTCAATGAATTACAAACTATTCACAAAGGAAAATGACGAAGGCTAAGGGTTCAAACTGAGGGTGGGAGTGTGTTTATCCTTTGAAATGGTGCAGGATCTAAATAAAATGGTTTAAAAAAGAAACTGTTGAAGTTTTTTTTTTATGTACAAAGCTCTGACTTGTGTTGCCTATTCTGCTTTTCTCCTGATTCTTCTGTAGATTCAGGGTTAATTAGTGTTCTTTAAAAAATTATTTGATCTGGATGCAACGTTCACACATTACTACTGGTAACATTTAAAGCTACATTGTGTAACTTTTCTGGTGGAGGGTCCGTCCGTCAAATGCTTTTCTCCATGGAGATGTTATTGCTTTGTCTGGAATGTTTCACAGTATGGCATTAAACCTTTCTATCTTCATGGAGACCAAACCAAACTGAGGGAAAGGTCACATCTGTGGAGAGGCGACCCTGCTCACTGTCAGAATGCCTGTATTTCCAGTAATTTAATGAATGTAAAATAGAGCTGTGGAACATTCCTAGCCAGGCTGGCGCCACCTAATGCCTCCACTCAATTTAATTTCTCTGCAGTGACTAGATCAGGAATTAGAAGACTAGGTGGTTCGCAAAAACCCCGGAAGTGCAAGTCTGGGCACCAGCCAATCAGCGAAGAGCCATACATTCTGAGCTATTCATCCAATCCTGAGATCAAGGATTTAAAGCTGGAATAAAGACAATGTTTTGTGAAATTTATCAAGGGGAAAGACATTATTGCCCTTTTTCATATAGGATCTGGGAAAAGCTTAATATACCAGTTAGCCCCATTAGCGGCACATTACATAGTCACAACCAAATAGCAGCGATTGGTTAAATAAAAAAAGAATACCCGTCTACAGTCGAGCGAATGAATTCTAATCAGGCTAGAACAATCCGGGCAGAGCAATGTCATCTCCACAGAAACAAGAAAGTGACAGACCACCAACCAAAAAGTTACATAGTGCACCTTTTAAACACAATGTATGCAAATCATCTTTATATAACTTCATTTGTTTTTCCTATTCACAAGTGAATGTATGCTATGTGAATGTTATATTTGTTTTAATTGTGACTTTATACTCATTTTCACCACTGCCATTTACCAGACCTACGAATTTGTTCTTGTCCTTTTCAAAAGAACCACTATCTCATAATCCCTACCCATATTCGTGCCAGTTCGTGCGTCATCGAGCTACAGTCCCCATCCATCTACACCCTCTAATAAAAATCAATTGATCTGGACTTTGCTGTTGCTTTATTTATTACCTTGAAGATATCTCATATTATCTGGAACATTTTAACACAGTCTTACAAAATTGTTAACACTGTGCATAATGTACACTTAAATTATGCTGTGGCACTGTGCACTGCAATTTTACCATTTTCTTCAAAGGACTTCAGAGGAAAATTCAACAGCAGTCCATGTAGCGTGGACTAAGTGTGGACGGCCTTATTTAACCTGGTGCTTCTGAAATTACTCAAATTACAGAGAAAAGAGGTGTGTGTGTGTGTGTGTGTGTGTGTGTGTGTGTGTGCGTGTGCGTGTGTTTTGTGTGTATGTGTACAGTCAGTCAAAAGTTTGGACATACCTTTTTCAGTTTGTTGAAAAAGTGTTTCTTTTCTGGTATGTGTTTTTACCACTTTCTACATTTTATCAAATTTATAGAACCTTTTTTGTTTTTTTAATATATTTTTTTATTTAGATCCTCAGAGCTGCAGCCTTTGGACTTCTCTCAATGAGCTTCTTAACTTATCCACAAGTAATGGTTTTCACTTCACAGCGGTGGGTCTAGAAAGCCCAGAAGTGCACAGCAGTGAATAAAGCAAAGGGTGGCTATTTTTTTAAATCTTAAAAGTTTAGACTTATTTTGTGTTTGTTTATTTATTCGCTACATTCCACGTTTTGATGCCTTGAAGTGAAAATCTATAACATAAAATAATCATAGAAATAAAGAAGAATCATACTTGAAAAATGTGTCCAAACTTTTGAATGGCAGTGTATATACATTTATATAAAGTAAACAAATATATATAAATGCATTTCAAATTTCAGTCCACTTTTTGTAGTCGCTCTTGTCAGTAAGAGGTCTAAAGGTATATATTCACTTGTACATATTACTTCTGTGGTGGACATTTTAGTATTGGGTGTTGTTCTTTCCATTGTCCAAGTAAGAAGTGTTAAAAGCCACACTTTACTTTGTCTTATTTTTCACGGGAAGGCTCTTTTGGGTTTCCCATTTACATGTCTGATGGTTATGTCACATATTAAGTGTTTGATCATCTTGACTTGTACTCAGGTGCTAATGTAAAGATGTTACATTTCAATACTAAGAAAGCCAAATGACCAGTCAGACTGACCTAAACGCTAACTGTTCTTGGGAAGGGCTTGGACCTCAGAAAGTATTTAAGTTTTGTTACTCCACTGCTCTGGGCTCACTGCTGGCAGAAACTCTGTCCGTCAGTAGTGACACCGTTTGTTACCGGTGCAAACGTAATAAACCAACCTAGACAGTTTTATTGTATGTCTTGGTATTATTTTACAGATAATTTCCATGACACTTCAACAAGAACATTGAACAAACTTCACCTATACTGACATCTCTCGTCTGTAAAATATAATCCTCTTCTTTTAATATAAACAAGTAAAACATCTGCTACACAGCTTTGATTGGGGACATTTAGGCAACAGTTTGCTCACAATTAACATTTAATCAGAATAAAACTACTGGAGCTACTGGAATATTTTCACACAAAATTTGTAAATGAAACAATTAACTTGCCACTTAAAAGTCACCATGGCATTCACCTGCTAAATTATGCCCACCCGATTCGTGGTTGGTGTAATAATCACAGAGGACCTGACGCACCAGTGATCTGTGATTATAGGCTACAGGATATGTGTCAGTGAAAGCACTGGAAAAGGTTTTCATTAGACCCTGTAATGGTTCTGTTTTGTGTTGAAATAAGATTGTTGACAGAGAAAATCAATTTGCAGCTTCACATTGCAAAATTCGTTAAGAATTACCAGATTATTTTGTTTCTTCTCATGGATTTTGTTTAATTGTGATTATAACAGGCCCGTCTACAGAAATTTGGGGAGCGGGAGCAAGAAGCCTCACATGGGCCCCCGTAATATAAATTAATAGAAAGAGGTTACAATTCTGGGCCCCTAAAACCCAGGGACAGTTAGTGATGTGATGTTTGTGACTGAGTCGGCTCTTTTGACCATTTCCTAATGTGAACAGATGGAACTGGATCTCATTTTTAAATAAATATATATATATATATATATATATATATATATATTATATATATATATATATATATATAATATATATATATATATATATATATATTTTTTTTTTTTTTTTTTTCATTTGTTTTTATGCACTTTTATACTGAATAACCCTGACTCAACAGAGCATAGAGCCAGAGCAGGGAACACAAGTGAGAGTTTTGTGCACAAAAAATCCAAGAGAAAACATATTTTGTATCATAACAGTTACTTTTTGACATTTTATTGAAATTATGCAATGTTTCAATGGGTGAACACACTCCCACTCCCAGTTTTAACCGTTTTAAACAGATCTGAGCCCTGGTCATTTTTTGCTGTGGTTAGTTTGTAGAAAAAAGAGGTCTCACTTTAGCTTCTGTCACCCAATTAAATATAAAAAGAGCTGGTTTGAACACCTCTTTAATATTAACAGTCCCATCACTACTTACAATCAATCATTTGTTGTGGGTTTTCAACTTCTTAAGGGAACAGTAGGTTAGACTGACTTAATTTTGACAATACCCCATTTTCACACCATAAATAATTTTACCTTCAAGGCTATAGATTAAGAAAGGTGTTCAACAGACCAATTAAGTCTGATGCTTCATTCTGCTTGTGTGTCTGACCTTTCACTGAGATACGAGATTACTTTCTTGCCATCATCAGGAAAGGCTGCTGCACGATTCAAAAGGAGTCACTCAGATGAATCACATGGAAGACCTCCACGTGTTTGCAGCAGGTGCAGCAGAATTAATGTTTTACTGCTGCATGATGTTGGCTTGGGTTTAACATCAGTCCAGTATTAAAGTACATATGATAGAGTTTTATGATTCTCAATTTATTTTTTTTTGCTTAAATGGCTAATATTTCAGTATTTGTTTGTCTGATGGTATAATATTGTTTCCTTATCACAAACATACCTAGAGTTCTTCTCTCAAGTGTTAAACACTTCTGTTCCACCTTGTGACGTCATGTGGTGATACAAGAAGTGCTCCACTGTGTTTTTTAACTCCATACACCTTCGCCAGAATTATTTGAATGATCTGAAATCGCCGATTTAACGGTAGCTGTTAAATTGTAAACTACCAGAAAAATGACATCACAAAGTGGAACAGAGCATTTTGAGCTTTGAAGATGTAGACAAACTAATAATACAAGATTACTCAAACATGTGTGAATGAAACAAAACACAACTCCAGGTCTGTTTTTGATGAGGTACACAACCTTTAATTTGGTGGAAAAATATGTCCAACATTATAGGATACTTTAAACATGGCTATAAAAACAAAAATAAAGGTGTTTTCTTTTATTATTTGTATTAATATCTGTGTACATTAGAGGAGTTTTTCTCGATAACAATTATGGAATTCCCTAGTGTGATGTTAGGATTTCCAACCAGAAAGTAAAATTTGAAACCTAAAAAATGGGGGGGGGGAAAGAAAAAACAGGAAATCTTTAATATAATGATTTTAACTGTGTTTTAGTAAAATAAGTAGTCTAACCTGTCCGAGATTTTAAAGGTGCATTGTGTAACTTTTCTCGTGGAGCGTTCATCACCTTCTTGTGGATGTGTCCTTGCTCTGCCTGGATTGTTCCACACTGTGTCATTAAACAGCTCTATACCTTTATCCAATTACAGATGGTTTTACTGCTCAAAAACACCTCGAAAAACAGGTATTCTGACTGTGAGTGGGATTCCTCTCCACAGATCTTACCTGTAACTTGGTCTGGTTTGTCCCGACAGAGCAATAACATTTCCATGGAGAAAAACATTTGCCTCCACCAGAAAAGTTACACAGTTCACTTTA